TATTGTTAATAGTAAATTAATACTATACGAGGATATGAATATGAGCAAGCGACACCACTTTGCGAATGAGATTAATTGGAATGAAAAAACATCATTTGAATTAGTCGATGAGATTTTTATTTTAAGAATCCGAGATTAAAATATAAGAGACGAGCCAAGAGAAAGGGGAACTCCAGTATTATAACAATAATCAATTGGTTACAACAAGAGAATAAAAAGATACCAAGTGGACGTGTTAATACTATTGTTAAATATTTACCAAGTTCACGAGCAGTTGGCAAGAGAATGATACTATCAGAAGAGTATGATCCTGAAAAGGATAAAATCGATACTATATATTATATCAAAAAATTCAATTCATTTATCAAGTCATGTCTAAATATTGAGGAAAAAGAAGCATAGGGCCTCGTTAATAGATGGTATAATGAAGTTGTTAAATCTCCACAGATCCAGCGAACACAAGATACTGATAACGAAGAAAGTGATTCTACCAATAAGTCATCAAGAGAAACTAATAAACAATACAAACAAACAAAGACCAAATATGATAGTATAGAAACTACTTCTAATTATAGAATAACTGATTTTTTTATTCAAAGATAATTTATTTATTTTTTTAATAAATAACTAATTTGATACAAGTTTATTATAAAGATCAAGTCTTCTCTTTTCTGAATAATTTTAAAAACTACTATACAACTGTTTTCATATAATATATATATCAGATCTTGATATTTCTGAAAAAGCTTCTAGAATAAATTAAATTTTTAATTTTCTTATTATGATTAACCTTCTTACCAGATCGAAATCAAACTTTATATTCTTTTTTTTTACTTTTTTTAACCAAATATTTAAAAATTGATGAAGACTTTGTATAGTCTAAAAACTTTCTAATTAGATCAAAGTTAAAATCATCTGATTGTATCCTATCAAATCCATTATCATTAAAAACTGAAACGATATCTCTTGGTAATATCTTCATAAATATTTTTCTAGCAAATTTACTGTAGACCAGTTTCCCATCATCACCTTTGATTACTTTAGCAAAAGCTTTTAGTAATAACTTCCCACGTCTGTCAAAACAAGAAGATGCATAAGTTTTAAATAAGTTGGTACTTGAAAGAAATGTCAAAGTAACATTAACATCATTTTTAAACCCTTCTTCTTCTATTTTATCAAAATTTATTCTTCATATTATATCACTATAAATACTGATCGTGATTTCTGCGTACAGACTAAATCTCAATTCATCTTTCTGAGATTGTGGGATGAGCCTTAAGATTATTTTATCATCATTACGATTAATGATTATGTTCGCCAACTACTTGACCATTTTATATTTATAAGAACTAATATCATATTCTAACATTTGGGTGGTATACTCGAAAAAATATTTATATTTATCACCTATGATAAATTCAGCAAGCGATATAATAATCCATGGTTCGATGGTCATTGGGATGTATTTTTTAATCTCTTTTAATATAATATCTTTATCATCGTTGTTTGTATTATAAGTTAATTTAAGATAGGTGAGAAAATACCACTTCCTATATTTTTTTCTCAATGGCTCTCTTGCAAAAATGATATTCTTTAAAATGGTATTATATCTCTTAGATGAGAAGAATAAGTGTCTCCAGACAATAAAATCATCATCGATAATATTTTTTAGAATCTCAGATGGATAGGAAAGATAATCCATTTGAGTTAACAAATAGAATATGGCAAGTCGTATTAAATAAATAATTGTATAAAA